TATAAGACAAGACGTTATATTCCAGAATCATCAATTGTACATTCTATATTCCACTAACGAAGTGCCTAAACATTTAATAAAATCATGGAAGTCAAAACCATCAACCTCTAAATCTCACAAATGCTTACTAAAAGCTCATGAGAGCATTTGTCCTTAAGTTGCAATTGACCTTGAGTATGAATAAAGGAGTTAAACCAATCAAGATTCAAAACCAATCTGATTCTCCTTTACAGAAAAGACAAAAGATTGCCTTGCGGAGATTTGAGCTTATGAAGAACACGTTTAAAATACCAGAGGCACAGGGAAGCATCTCCTGCCACATCAGCAAGGTTAAAAATAACTATATTTCAGAAAAAAAAGCCCTAAAGCGGCAGAATGTGCCCACTGCTTAAGAATGAAATATGAGCAAATGTCACCTGAGCAGACAAAGCACATGCAATCTTAATGGAACAAATAATAAAAAACAAAACATTGACCTTAAGACATAAATATATTGTTTTAAACTAGAACAATGAACATTAGAACACTCTTAGCGTGAATAAACTCAAGCAAACATCCTAAAAACCTATTAGTGAGTAACATCTGTATGCTGCTCAGAAAATCACTTATAAACAACTTTATTCTGCACCTCGTGTTTTCATTGACCTATTTTCCTACTACAAGGAAAAATGGTTCTTTTTACAAAAAAGAAAACATAAGCTTACCTATGAGAGCCTGGAAAAGACTGCTTTTGAAAATGCCCATGACTCTTAAGATGGCAGTTTTGAGCTGTTGTTCCTCTGGTTTCTTCAGTTTGGAGCAGTAGTCCTCCAGGAGGCTTATTGCTCTGGCTGTGTCTGTAAAACAGAATAAATGTTATGCTACTGGCATTTTTTAATCTACAACATTTAACATGGAACTACCTAACGTATTCTTTTTTATTTATAATTACATGTATTTTTAAATAAATGTCTTTAGAGTGCTGGCTCACAAACAAGAAAAAAAAGAAAATGTATCAAATCAGAACTGCCCCTTTTTCAATTTTAAAGGAATATTTCACCCCAAATATTGAATTTTTCTTTTTGAAAATGTACTCACCTTCAGGCCATCCAAGAAAGTACATGTAAATGAGTTTATTTCGTCATCTGAACAGATTTGGAGGAATTTAACATTACATCACTTGCTCACCAATGGATACTCTGCAGTTTAAATAGCTAAAATACAATAAAAACATCACACAACTCCAGTCAATCAATTAATGTCTTGTGAAGCAAAAAGCTTCATGTTTGTAAGAAACAAATCCATCAAGGCATTTTAACTTTTAACCATCACTTCCGGCCTAATTCCTTAATCCAAAATAATGCTTCCTTCAGTGATCAAGTCTATCCCCTGTTGTCTTCTCACATCAAAATCCACTGGCATGTATGTTAAGAACTGTTTTGGAGAATGTTCCCTTGTAAACAGTGCTTGATCTGTGCATATTTCTCTCCTGATTCAGACGATTCAACTTTATTTTACTGCAGAAATCGATATTATGGATAACACAACGTTTTAAAGTTAAAAGCATCTTAATGATGCATTTGTTTACTACAAACATAACTTTTTGCTTTACAAGACATTATGGACAGGGGTCATGTGGATTATTGTCATGTTTTTATCAGAGGCTTGGACAATTATCCTGACGGCACCCATTCACTGCAGAGGACCCACTGGTGAGCAAATAATGACCACATTTTTTCGATGAAGAAACAAACTCAACTACATCTACATGGACTGAAGGGGAATAATCTTCTGGCAAATTGTTATTTTTGGTGAACTATTCCTTTAATGCACATTCCTAGTCAAACTGTGAATGATTCATTGATGCAGGTTTTGCTCAGTATGTCACATTATAAAACTAAAATGGGTTGTGAACAGAGATTTGCATTGAAATTAATGACTCAGAATGTCTGAACTGACAATTAAGTTTTACTTCCAATGGGACATCCTTAAAGAAAACAGCAGAGAAACTGTCTTCAAACAATTCACTGTATTTCTACATGCTTTATAACATAGTAACCAGTTAACAACTTACAAAGACCCTGAGAGACTCTTTACTACTAGCACAGATCATGAGAGTGACTGAGCATGACTCAGTCACTTAGTCACACAGACAAACAGACACTAGGGACAGGACGGGGGTTAATTCCTGTCTTCGACAGATCGTTCGAAGCAACACAATTTAGAAAAACTGAAAGAGCAACAAACATTTTTTAAATAAATTGCAATTAGTAACATGTGCAAACGATTACTGTGCATGCATTAATGAGAATTCTGCTAATGATAAACTACTAGGACAATACAATTGGAGATATACTACATTTACAGTGTGCATAAAAAGACTTTTAGGCATTTAAAGAGTAACTAAAAACACAGCTGCATAGCTGTCTGAAATATAAATACAAACCAGCATCCGAGATCATCCGAGGTCATAGGCAGGTTGGCCATACTTGTGTCTATTTTAACAGACTACAAACTTGCAGCAGAGTATAATTACACTATTAGTAGGTCTACATATATAATTACACATATTTTAGGCTTAGGAGGTACAGAAGTCAAAATAAAATAAGGATAATTAAGGCATGGCCACAACAGTCCTGCTATAACATGATCATATTTGCCTGCTTCAGCAACCGCAACACATTCAACTAATCAAGTCTTGACATTCTGCATTACCCAAAGACACAACTATGAATACATGTGGAATTTGACATCTGTCATGCTATATTTCAACATTTTACACATTATGCATAAAGCTTTTATGACCTCATATCGAGAGACTACATGTAATATTCGTGCTTTAAAATAATTTTGTCTACACTAGATGTGATTAAAATGATGGGGGGGAAAAAAGAACCGTGACCGTAACTGTAACCGGTCTGTACAGAGTTAAAAAAAAAAAAGAAGATTTTTCGAGGTTATAAATATAACAGATTAGGAGTACGTCTTACAAGAAAACACTACTTCAAAATGTCATGTTTAGATTAGCCTAGTGTGTTACTTTCCATTTCTTTGTAAATATTTGTAAAATGTATTAGCAATGTCGGAATAAAAAAAAATTCTACACAATTTTTTTTTTACAGTGTACAATTTCTCTTATTCATTCATAGAAGTTTTCACCTGAAATAATGCTGCCTTAAAGTGCGTACACTATGTAAACGACCGGTACACAGTCATATAATAATCATGTTTTCACAATCATGTACATACTTCGAGGTTATAAATATAACAGATTAGGAGTACGTTTTACAAGAAAACACTACTTCAAAATGTCATGTTTAGATTAGCCTAGTGTGTTACTTTCCATTTCTTTGTAAATATTTGTAAAATGTATTAGCAATGTCGGAATAAAAAAAAATTCTACACAATTGTTTTTTACAGTGTACAATTTCTCTTATTCATTCATAGAAGTTTTCACCTGAAATAATGCTGCCTTAAAGTGCGTACACTATGTAAACGACCGGTACACAGTCATATAATAATCATGTTTTCACAATCATGTACATACGTTGATGTTTATTTCTCACCTCGTTTTCTTAAGGGCATAATTACTCCTTTATGTCCTTGTGGGATTGTCACGCATGGAAACAGCAACACAAAAGTTTCGCCCTCATCTGCTGTCAGTGTCTTTGAGAAAGTGTCACCTGCTAAAGCAGCAAGTTCCTGCTCAGGTCGCTGATGTAGATGTAAAAGCGAACAGAATGGCAGCTCTCGGGCTCGTTGCTTGTAATTGTCAAGTTAAACAGGAAGAGACACGCGTCGAAACATCTTGCAGAAGAAAACACATGCTGAGCGCATGATTGTCGCTCATGAGAAATAAATCCATAATCCGATAGAAAAGAGTGGAGAGTGATCGAGTGCACCTTGGTGTGGATGAGTCTATAAGAAATGCTCTCTAGTGTCTGAATATGTTCTCGGTATTGAGCTCTCTGAGGATTCTTTTGCTGCAATATTCGAGCAACCACCGACTCCTTAAATGCCTTTGGTGTGTAACTACATAAACATAATTCAATCACGCTGTCCATAACACAACCCATACAGTCCTGACAAACATTAAAGGCGCAGTGACTAACTAAACTAAATCTAACCACTAGTTTTTGCCCCAAAGGGCCACCATATACATCAAATTAGAAAGGCTCTCCGGTACATGGCTTGTCTTGGATTAGATTCAGTCATCATATGCTGATCAAGCATTAATTTAAATCCTCAAACTGCCAATATGGAGTTCCAGCAACAGTTCGTGGAATAAATAAGCATGCCAGCCTGTGTAAATTGAACGATGCATGCTTGTAAACGTGTCTTTAAGTACAACTTGTTCTACACATAGGGAATGACGTTCACGTGTTTTACGTTTTAGATTCGGATCCTTGAACAGAAAGAAACTGGAAATTTAAATCGGAGACTTTCATGATCATCTTGCTGTTCGACAAGCGCAATCCACTTTCACGTCGCTTCAAGAACCAAGCAAAACCATCACCATACTGGCAAACTGCTGTGGAATCCAGATCTCAAGGTAGAGACAGGAGGCAGATTTAACTAGACAAGGCAGGATGTATTCCCCCCATGAAACAGCAGCCTGTCGGTGCGACGCCTGTCGGAAAACACCTGCAAGTTTCATCCAGCTTTCCGATAACGCATGGCTCCACAATAAGCCAATCTGAGCAAATATATCCCAAAGGTCCTCGTCAAACGTCCCGAAAGGCAGTTAAGAACAACTTCACCTCCTTTCCCGTCATTTTTTCTGTCAATCTTTACGGCATCTTTTGCCAAAGCTGGTTTGCAGACTCTCTCTACTGTGGGTGCAGTATCACCAGCAGCAGCAGCAGCATCATCACCAGTTTCGCCTTAGCAACGAGAGGGTTGACCCGCGGGGATTGACAGGGCGCGTCCTCCAATGGCGTTCGTTCATTCGGTAGGTTGGCGCACGCACGGACCAATAGGAATCGCCGTATTGTTCCTGGATCTCGGGGTGAGAGTTGACTGGAACATGTGGTTAGACATGGCTGCGCCCTGCTGCTGGCATTGAGGACCGTGACTGTTGAACACTGGATGGACTAGTTTAGCGCTTATTTGAAAGCTATTTTGTGGGTAAGTAGCAATCCTACGATGCATAAATGCGGTAGTCACCATGTGCAAATGAAGTTGTCAATAAACAGACAGCATTATGGCTGTGTGTGACATTCAGCTACACATCAACACAGAGGTAAAACAAATCAGCTGTCATTCGTCTGAATGAGTTATTGCGTTGCGTTTTTAAAACGACATATCAGTAAGTTCAGCTTATAAAGAGGCGTCTTACTAAAATATGTCCTCTACAGAGTATTAATATGAATTTCATGGATATCCAGATAGCAAGCTAGCATATAGAATTTATAAATGTAATAAACAGTATAATAATATAGTTACTAACATAGACAGAAATATCCCTTGTAAGTTTATAAACGGACTCATGAATGATCCGTTTATAAAAGTCAATAATTATATATGTTCAGTTATTCTTAATCTTATATTCTGACATGGAAATGTAACAAAAAGCAAAACTCACTGGTCGATAATCCGCTGCAGGTTGATCGTTGAATCGTTGATATTCAAACGGCGAATTTCGCGCTTCAGGCCACTGACGTTCACGTGTTGCCCATGAATTTTGGGCAAATTAAACTAATTCAAACCAAAATTAAATATATTCATTTTTAGTAAGCGGTCACAATGTTGTTAAAAGGTCGACTGTCTGCAACGAGTCAGTTTGTTTATATTAAAACATATGTATCTCCTTTTAGGTCAACATGACAGACAACGGGATGTTTGTGAAAGACACAGGCCAAGGCCAGACAATATCCAGGGCTTTGATTTTTGAAATGCTGAATAAAAAGTTTGAAAAACTCCCTGATATAGACAAGTAAGTTAGTTTCATATCATACATACGATATGTCACAAATGTGTTTCCCCCATTGCAGTTAGCTAACGAAAGTTCCCTGTTTTAACCCCCACAGAAAACTCTTTTCATACGGCCCCATATATTTGGCTGGCAACGCTGGGTTTGCTGGCTTGGTTGCCAACAGCTTTTTCAGACGTGTACTCAATGTCACCCAAGGACGATTTACTTCCAGCCTTCCCATGGCTGTTCTTCCCTGACTAGCGTCCAAAGTTCAACTTTGACCCCTTTGCCACTCACCTGTCGAAGCGTCAGCCAATCGGCATTGGTCAAATCAAATGATGTTGTGCATACACCAGTACGAAAATCAGAACATGATCGGTGAGATTTGGTTTAATCGACACGATTTTTTTAAACTAATTTTATTTTTTCTGATCGGCATCAATACGGTTACCAGGAATTTTTTATTTCTAGGTTAAGTATATTTAATTTAACTTCGTTTTGCGTTTACTGTGTGCACTTGACGCTTTGTTACCAGCAACACCCTTACACAAGTCAGGTGAAAGCTCCTTGAGAGTTTCTGAACGTTCTGCATTGTATTGAGGAGCTACATTGTAATTGCAGGTGACCTGAACTGCCCAACCTGTACCCTGATAAGAGGGGCTTTGGTTGGTGTAGTTGGTGGTGGCATATATCCCATTTTGTTGGCCTTACCGGTCAATGCTGGTCTTGCAGCCAGGTTAGTCCAGTTACCACACTGCTTTTCTTAGAAATATAATGTGGCAAGTTGTGTATGACTAATTGTAACTGATTTCCAATTGTCTTGCAGGTATAACAGTGCACCAATGCCAGAAAAGGGGAACATGATACGCTTCTGGACAAATGTCAGCAAACCCATTGTACAGAAGATGTATGTTGTTTTGCTGCTGCAGGGTTTGTTTGGAACCTACTTGAGCTCTAAACAGTTTGATATCTACCTAAAAATGCTGAAAATAACCGATTCTGACAGCGAACAGCTTCATGGTTAGCAGTTGTTATTTATATTGATTTTGTAAATATTGTTAAAATAAGTGAAACACGCTTGCTCAATGCCATAACTAAGTCTGGTCAGTTTTGTTTTTGATGTCTGATCAATAAATTCCATTCACTATACCTTTGCACTCTCTACCCAAAAGGGAGAAATCTACCGACGTTTCCAAAAATTAACCTAAATCACAAATTGAGGTACTTAAAAGAATTCAATGTCTTTTCTTATACATCATAAGTCTCAGAATAATCTAAACTGCCTGGCCGTTATTTTACTACAGATACTACAAAACATTAACTAGAGCTTTGCCTAAACAACCATTTGGTTTGTGTGCATGTATGAAAGGAAAATAAAGTGGATAAAAAGTGGTGCAAACACAAATAACTTTTGCTAATGTGTAACTTATAAAATTATCAAATGGAGAACATGTGAAGCAATAACAAGTTCAGCTACTAATAACAAAAACAATGTACTGGGAAACAAGCTTATGGACCTTAATTACAATGTGCATTTACTGCCACAAAGAGATCTTTTAATGTGAATTTCCAATTCCCGACCACAACAAACAGTTCTGAAATGTAAACAGAATTATCAGCATTAGCCTTTAAATAAAAATCATAAAAACTCCCATTTAGTCATAACATTTCAGAAGATCTAGGTTAATATGGTGAATTTTTCAGTAACATTTAATTTTACAATGTAGTTTTATCATCTTGTTGAAATCATCTGACAAGCTGTTATCAAAAAGTGTTTCTATATCTGATGCAACAGTGTTGTAACAGATTCATTATGATGTTCGTTCTATGAAGTACCATGAATAAAAATAAATAAAAACATCAACTGCAGTTATACATTTCAGAACTGCTTGGGTTGATCTGCAGTCAGGGGGGTTGGGGGAGGGCGGGATGTCAGTGTTACCACAGGCCTTAAGGAATTTTGCAGTATACACTTGTATATAATAGGGAGAAACCACCACCACTCTTTATCCACCCTGTAGAGTGATAAGAAAAGGCTTTTGTAGAGCCTGTTGCGAAGAAAGTGCTGTGTAAAAAGAGAAGGAGAGTGTAGTTAACATCTTGTTAGGACACAAAACAATTTGCATTCCTCAAATGAACATTTATTACATTTCATTTCAAAACAGCTGCAGCCATGTGCCTGCAGTCTTTGGATTTCCATTACATATCACATATAGATGTTCATATTCAAAACCCATGACCCTTTCAAAAATGCTGTTTCAGAACATACTTATTCTCCTGACAACGGTCAAATAAAGCCCAAGTGCTTTTACAAATCAAGATGAAACATGGATATGAGACAGATGTTCAATGTCTTGTAATAAAACATTACTATAAACAGGAGTTTAAACACTCATTTAAATGATAAATGAGCGGGACAGCATCTGACGTCTTTAGGGGTGTGAGAAAGAATCAGTAAAACTGTAACTTACACTGTTTCAAGTACTACCTTTTTTTAAATTTACCAGGCCATGATGCAAGCTGCTGGTCCCGATTCTTCTGCTTTCCCCACAGCAAAATCCACTTTAGCATAAAGAAAAATAAGGGTTCTACATGAAAAACATTCTTTAGAAAAATAGCGATATTTCAGAAAGGGCTCATCTAGTTTCAACAAAATACAAGCTTGCATTGAAATCAACATCAATGTCTCGACACTGAATAAACAGATACATAACAGATTAATTTAAGCAGAAGCCCTTTGTGAAACATCACCCATTTACATAATTCTTTAACTTTTTTTTTTGTCCACTTAACTGCTTCCCTTAAAGTCTACTTTAACTGAAATTACATACTACAACGGTGTAATCCAATAAACATCCAAAGTACGTAATTCAAAAACAATGCTTAATTTATTTTTGTAGTTTATCTTCAATACTTTAAACAGACAGCAAATGAAAATGAAACAAAAATTATAGTTTATTTACAGTTCATATTGTGCCGTGAACTGGCAAAAAGCATTGTCTTCATCTTAGGAGTTAACCAGTTCTGTGCGGTCTTCTACTTCTTGATCCTTACCATGGATTTCAGCAGTCAAGGATGTTCTGTGACCCAGTCATCCAGCATGGCAGACCAAGCACCTAGAAGAAAACTGTCAACAAGTTTAGCAGTAACTTGTATTGAAAGCAAGTTCAACAAACATGCCATTCAAGCTCTGCACACATTTAAACAGTTAACTATATTTGACAACTACTGTCATCATGTCCCCTTCATTTACATCTTGTGCAAATGTTCAGTCTCGGGAAACGTTGAAAATGTAAAATACTTGACCCTACATTTTATGCGACAAGCTTGAACTCTCTGCACATTTGGTGCAGAATTCCACCGAGACGTGGTCTTTGTCCACATGCAGGCAGACGCCACCTGCAGTATCTTTGTCTTCCACCTTCACCCTCTTCCTCGGCATGGCATAATCGTGGTCGTTCTCGTTGGATTCCTGGAAAAGTGAGGTAGAGAATTTCATGCCGTTCACACCGCTCAATCTAGACAACAGCTGAGCCAGCATGCTCTCATTGGCCAACACGGCTTTCAAGTACCTAGTTTCATTCTCCAACTCTTCCACTCTCTTGTTGAGATTGCCGTTTTCCTGCTTGAGAACATGATTTTCTGTGGTCAAAGAACCAACTCTCTGTTCCAGGCCAGTGACGTATTCTTTCTTCTTTAAACGGTTCATCCTCGCAGCAAAGGCATTCTTGTTGATGATCCGACTGGAGACGTCTTGAAGTTTTGACATCTGGACTGCACCTCTACTGCGGGATGTGGCAACGTCAAGTACTGTGCTTTGGTCTGTCTCATCGCTGGTCGCTGTCTGTGATTCAAAGTTGACGAAAGCATCAAGCACTTCGTTGTCCAGCTCCCAGTTGAACCCGGAGCCAAGCAGATCATCCAGGCCCCAATCATTGGTGTCGCTTTCTGGGGAAGTTTGCATGTCCGTTTCACTTGTATTACTGGTTTTCGAAACACCATCAAAAAAATAAGGGTTCTACATGAAAAACATTCTTTAGAAAAATAGCGATATTTCAGAAAGGGCTCATCTAGTTTCAACAAAATACAAGCTTGCATTGAAATCAACATCAATGTCTCGACACTGAATAAACGGATACATAAGATTAATTTAAGCAGAAGCCCTTTGTGAAACATCACCCATTTACATAATTCTTTAACTTTTTTTTTTGTCCACTTAACTGCTTCCCTTAAAGTCTACTTTAACTGAAATTACATACTACAACGGTGTAATCCAATAAACATCCAAAGTACGTAATTCAAAAACAATGCTTAATTTATTTTTGTAGTTTATCTTCAATACTTTAAACAGACAGCAAATGAAAATGAAACAAAAATTATAGTTTATTTACAGTTCATATTGTGCCGTGAACTGGCAAAAAGCATTGTCTTCATCTTAGGAGTTAACCAGTTCTGTGCGGTCTTCTACTTCTTGATCCTTACCATGGATTTCAGCAGTCAAGGATGTTCTGTGACCCAGTCATCCAGCATGGCAGACCAAGCACCTAGAAGAAAACTGTCAACAAGTTTAGCAGTAACTTGTATTGAAAGCAAGTTCAACAAACATGCCATTCAAGCTCTGCACACATTTAAACAGTTAACTATATTTGACAACTACTGTCATCATGTCCCCTTCATTTACATCTTGTGCAAATGTTCAGTCTCGGGAAACGTTGAAAATGTAAAATACTTGACCCTACATTTTATGCGACAAGCTTGAACTCTCTGCACATTTGGTGCAGAATTCCACCGAGACGTGGTCTTTGTCCACATGCAGGCAGACGCCACCTGCAGTATCTTTGTCTTCCACCTTCACCCTCTTCCTCGGCATGGCATAATCGTGGTCGTTCTCGTTGGATTCCTGGAAAAGTGAGGTAGAGAATTTCATGCCGTTCACACCGCTCAATCTAGACAACAGCTGAGCCAGCATGCTCTCATTGGCCAGCACGGCTCTCAAGTACCTAGTTTCATTCTCCAACTCTTCCACTCTCTTGTTGAGATTGCCGTTTTCCTGCTTGAGAACATGATTTTCTGTGGTCAAAGAACCAACTCTCTGTTCCAGGCCAGTGACGTATTCTTTCTTCTTTAAACGGTTCATCCTCGCAGCAAAGGCATTCTTGTTGATGATCCGACTGGAGACGTCTTGAAGTTTTGACATCTGGACTGCACCTCTACTGCGGGATGTGGCAACGTCAAGTACTGTGCTTTGGTCTGTCTCATCGCTGGTCGCTGTCTGTGATTCAAAGTTGACGAAAGCATCAAGCACTTCGTTGTCCAGCTCCCAGTTGAACCCGGAGCCAAGCAGATCATCCAGGCCCCAATCATTGGTGTCGCTTTCTGGGGAAGTTTGCATGTCCGTTTCACTTGTATTACTGGTTTTCGAAACACCATCAATCTCGTGGGAGGTACTTGTACATGTGATGTCAGGGTTTAGGCTGCTTCTTCCTCTTTTTCTGGTGATCATGGCTGTGTTTCTGGATATTGTGGAAACTGCATAGAAACAAAACATTAGGAAATTAGCAAAAAATAAATAACAGCAACAATCTGCACACAAACGAGTTAATTTTTATTGTATGGGAGAAAGCAATATATACAGATATATAAAGCTGCCAAACCACTGAGAAATGTTCGACTAGAAGTGAGGATGTAAATTGTGGAGTTAGCACGTTCGAGCTCAAAAAATTGGGGGGGGAAATGGGGAGAAATCGATCCACATTCTTCCGTACTTAGCAAACACCACCTAACAAAACGGAGATATAGGGTTTTCTTTAATAATTAAAAAAACGTGCACGTCAATCTATCCTCTTACTTTTACTATAATAATCGATGTATTAACAACTATCGAATACAACAAAGAACATACCTTTCGCAGTGGTTTTGTTTAGTAGGCCGCTGTAGCGCGCCTTGAATCTGCGTGACAAAGCCGTTTCTTCACGCACAGAATTACACATATTTTTGTTTACAACCGGAGCAACTTACCTTAAATCGAATGCTGATGTCTTCTGGCGTCGATTGAATGAAGAAAAATACGAGAAAACTAATTGAACAGGATAGAAAATATATTTAAGCTCAGACGTTGTAAAGTCAAGCCACACGCTTACGACGACACTGAGGGGAACTAAAATGGCGACTCCACAAGTATCGCGATACTTAACATAAGCATCGCTTATCATAGAGGAGGAGCAACGATTGGGTGTGTTTTTTCTTTTCAGAGTCGGTTGCTGTTTCTTGGTTCAGACGACAAAGATTTAAACAAAAATGGATTAATTATATTATAAAACATTGTGAAAAGCAGTACAGCATAAAATGCTTGAGAAACCTGGGTATGCTATCTCTCAATTACACTAGAGACATTGGGAGTTATTAACAAACATCCAGCAGAGGGCGAAAGAGACTGCCACTCGTACAGAACTGCGATAGGTCTCTGTAATAGCCATGATCCTCAAAGACCAAAACATTTTGACTTTACCTTAAATAAGGTCTTAAAGTCAACAAAACATAGGACAGGAAAGATGAAGGAAACTTACGTAAAGGTGTGGATGCCAGGTCCTCTAAACTCTTGGAAATAAAGATGGGTCTGGCATTGGCTCGTTCAAGGGCAGCGTTGACAGGGCTGTCATCCTCACTGTCCCCTGTCACAGCCCATATCAAAAAAGAATCAGCAAACCATACAAAAACAGAAGTCTACTGATCCATTATATACAACTATTAGTACTGAATATCTGATTTGAAACACTGATTTAATGCGGTATTTCCACCCATTAGCTTTCTGATTTCAGGGGATTTTAAATGTATATGTAATTATTATTATGTACAATGTATGTAATTTTAAATAATTAAAAAAAATAGCATAATAGCTAATTAAAATCAATACAGCCAAATAATTTAATATTAGTTATAGATTTAAAATATAACATTAAAAAAATAAAATAATTATGAAATATAAAATGTAATAAATTAAAACAATATAATAAAGACTTTAATGAATGTAAGCTGATTTTTCAGTGTCAGAGGTACTTGTGTTCATTTGACTGTAACCGTAAACAATATTTCCAACACAATGTTATAAAATGAAACTTACCAAAACTTTTAAAAATTACAAATAATAAAAAAAAAAGTTTCATGATTTCAAATAAAAAAGTTCTGATTGCTGAATTAGATCATTATAGAAACACGTAGAGGCAGGGCTTAAATAGTTATAAACCTGTAGAACAAGAAGGTCATTTTATCATGTCTACAAAGTTGAGCAACTTACTTGAGCAAAGTATCAAGTAGGACATGTTTCTCAGGTCACACTGAGCAATTGTTCTAATGACATAAACATTTATATAGATAATTGATTTAGTTACTCCATCTACCTCACCATTAGATGCATGATTTGGGTGGTACGGAATGCAAACCACTTTAATCGTTGCCATTAATCCATGTGCTCATCAAATTTTCATGTGTCAGTTAATGCATTCCCTTAGCCATTTCAAGTAAAATATACATGGAAGACCAAGGGTCGATTATGAAAGGAGGTGTAATGTCCTTGATGCTCTTAATGTAATAATGGAAATGTATAATACTCTATGAACATTAGTTAATAAGCTACAGCAGAGGCTGATATCAAAATAATTTAAAATAATTATGAAATGTATTTACAAATTGACGTGCATTTACTTTATTACTGATTTATTAAAAAAACAAATATTTACCATTTTCCATACTCAGCCCAACATCACTCCTTGCGTCAGTCTTCCAACTCTCTTCTTGGTTCAGATGACAAAGATTTAAACAAAAATTGATTAATTATATTATAAAACATTGTGAAATGCAGTACAGCATAAAATGCTTGAGAAACCTGGGTATGCTATCTCTCAATTACACTAGAGACATTGGGAGTTATTAACAAACGTCCAGCAGAGGGCGAAAGAGACTGCCACTCGTACAGAACTGCGATAGGTCTCTGTAATAGCCATGATCCTCAAAGACCAAAACATTTTGACTTTACCTTAAATAAGGTCTTAAAGTCAACAAAACATAGGACAGGAAAGATGAAGGAAACTTACGTAAAGGTGTGGATGCCAGGTCCTCTAAACTCTTGGAAATAAAGATGGGTCTGGCATTGGCTCGTTCAAGGGCAGCGTTGACAGGGCTGTCATCCTCACTGTCCCCTGTCACAGCCCATATCAAAAAAGAATCAGCAAACCATACAAAAACAGAAGTCTACTGATCCATTATATACAACTATTAGTACTGAATATCTGATTTGAAACACTGATTTAATGCGGTATTTCCACCCATTAGCTTTCTGATTTCAGGGGATTTTAAATGTATATGTAATTATTATTATGTACAATGTATGTAATTTTAAATAATTAAAAAAAATACATAATAGCTAATTAAAATCAATACAGCCAAATAATTTAATATTAGTTATAGATTTAAAATATAACATTAAAAAAATAAAATAATTATGAAATATAAAATGTAATAAATTAAAACAATATAATAAAGACTTTAATGAATGTAAGCTGATTTTTCAGTGTCAGAGGTACTTGTGTTCATTTGACTGTAACCGTAAACAATATTTCCAACACAATGTTATAAAATGAAACTTACCAAAACTTTTAAAAATTACAAATAATAAAAAAAAAAGTTTCATGATTTCAAATAAAAAAGTTCTGATTGCTGAATTAGATCATTATAGAAACACGTAGAGGCAGGGCTTAAATAGTTATAAACCTGTAGAACAAGAAGGTCATTTTATCATGTCTACAAAGTTGAGCAACTTACTTGAGCAAAGTATCAAGTAGGACATGTTTCTCAGGTCACACTGAGCAATTGTTTTAATGACATAAACCCTGCTTCCACATATAAACAATATTTCCAACACAATGTTATAAAATGAAACTTACCAAAACTTTTAAAAATTACAAATAATAAAAAAAAAGTTTCATGATTTCAAATAAAAAAGTTCTGATTGCTGAATTAGATCATTATAGAAACACGTAGAGGCAGGGCTTAAATAGTTATAAACCTGTAGAACAAGAAGGTCATTTTATCATGTCTACAAAGTTGAGCAACTTACTTGAGCAAAGTATCAAGTAGGACATGTTTCTCAGGTCACACTGAGCAATTGTTTTAATGACATAAACCCTGCTTCCACAAGAATCACAGAACCAATCAAGTTCTTTTCTACTGAAACTAGACTGAACCAAAATGGAGAGGTGAGCTCACAGTATGAACTGGCGTGTGAGATTGACCAGGCTTCAGGTGTGGAGCTCCCAGAGGAGTCAAAGGTGATCTCCTCTGATTCAAGCAGGGAGTGTCAAGAAGGGGAGCTCTCATTGCTCATTCTGCCTTGGCTCACCTGTTCAAAAGTTTCACCTGCCTGCACCGTAACCTGTTTTCTTTCATCTAAGACTGCCTGCACAGGTACACCCAGGTAATGGTGTAAACTCAGGGGAATATAAAACCGGGTCAGAGAGTCCGCTGACAACTTTCGTTCTTTGGGCATGATGGGTCTTACATCACAGCCTCCATCTGAAGTCTTTCTGTGGTGTTCAGGAGAGATGCAAGACCTGGTTTGCCCTGGATTAACCCTTACAGTGCATGGACTCTAGTTGGTGGGATTGATATCAATCGCAAAGGTTCTTAAGGGAGAACCTAAGGGATCCTTCCTGGTTTCTTTGTTTGGATATGAATCTCTACGAGGTACTTTAGACTGCAGTAATGGGCTGGGAGTTCTGGTTTGATCTTGGTCTTTTGGGTGGTAAATGTCAGTGGACTGTGGCTCATCATGTTGACCTTTTGCACGGAGACTTTTGAGGGGAGATGATGGTGGACTTGGCTTTGAGTGTTCGTCTGAAGTGGACTGTTTGAAATGAGAAATATTCTGGGTGATGTAAGGTACCCTACCTCTGATATCTTGAAGGTCTTGTAATGGCACTGTACTTGGACTTTTTTGGTTTTCCTCGGTCTGTTCCATCTTCTCTTTTTGTGTCAGTCCAGCCTCTTTGAAACTCATTCTGCCTGGGGAACTTTGGCTGGTTGACCTGATGTCAAACTGAGGTTCAGAAAGTTCCATTGAAGAATGTTTTGGACATGACGCTGGATCTTTAACATTAGCTATGCACGTTGGTGAGCCTACAATTACTCTAAGGCCACTTTTTTCTTTCTCCCAAAATGAATTGAGATCATTAATTGAAACATTATCCTCCTGTTGACTTAAGGACATTTTGAAGGTGAAGATTTCCTTCTTTAAGTCAGTTATGTCCCTAGAGATTGACTCTTCTTGTAGCTCATTGCCCAGAGATTTATCTTTGTGTTTTAGCAATGAACTAGGTGACAATTTGGCATTCATTTTTACTGTGAGAGTTTGTAGATCACTGCTTGAAACTTCTGAGACCCTATTGTTCTCCGAACTAGAAGGTTTCTCATCTTCATGTGAGGATATGGCTGATATATCAACACCATTGGATGTTCTTCTAGGTGAGATTGGAGAAATATCACATGATGTAGATTCTACATCAACTGTATTTGGGTTTGGATCATTGGGATTGGGTTTGGATGGGCTGATGCTGGAATCTGACAACCTTCGTTCCACAGCATCGTGATAATTCTTATTAAGCTGAGATGGCTCACTTACTTCTACCTCGGCTTCTCTTTTGATGCTCAGTATTTTAGGTCCTTTGTTCCCCCTTTCCCAGAATGACTTCAGGTTGGCCAGTCTTCCTGGTGATATTTCACCTTGGTCAAATGTCTCTCTTTGAGGAGGATCTTCGCATATTGGTTTGTCTGTTTTTTCCTGCAGTACTTCTGCAGTCTTGCTATTTGTAGGAACAGAGGTCTGTGGAAGTATATTTTCATCTTCAGACCTCAAAGTACAAGATATTTTATATTCTGAAATTTCTGTTTTATCTTGACTTATCTCTTTTTGGTCAGATGCTTGAACTTCAGGAGTCTTATCTTTTTTCTCTGCTCTCGAAAACAATGAAAAAATACCCTTACGTGTCTTTGGTGGTGGCTTGGTCTTTGGCTGTAAAACTGGAGGCACTGAATCTTCTGACTTGGCTTCTGGGCTTTCATGAACTTTTGGTTCCTCTTCATTCATCTCTTTCTTAACTGGCGACTCCTTCAGC